CTTCAGTACCTCAGTCTGCATCTGTCGGTACCGGTACCTCAGTCAGCATCCTTCAGTACCTCAGTCAGCATCTGTCGGTACCTCAGTCAGCTTCTGTCGGTACCTCAGTCAGCATCTGTCGGTACCTCAGTCAGCATCTGTCGGTACCTCATTCAGCATCTGTCAGTACCTCTGTCAGCATTTGTCGATACCTCAGTGTCGTGAAATGATAGCCATTACGCATCGGTCTGTAAATCGGATAACCTGTCTTACCTGTAATCTGCACAAAATTCAAACTTGGACTCGCCCAGAAATATATAGTCCCTTATATCTATATATATATATAGGCCTGTATTGGACAACATTATTATGTCTGCCCTTTCTGGTTACTTTAACTAAACTCCACTTTTAAATGTATATCTCTTGGAGATATATTAAGGGAGTTATTTAAGGTTTCGTGGAAACCGATTTACTCCTTGCCCAAGTATACAAGGGACTTCTTTTGTTACCAACGCCTGAAGTGTCTAAGTGACGCTATTCTCCTTGCCAGCTTCTCAAGCGTCCAGATGTGTTAATCTGTGCCTGTATAAATTTCACTTTTCAAGGCAATCTGGAATGTCTCAGTTTTTACATATGCTTGGGTAAGTTAATTATAGTTTACGAGTACCTAGAAGGATGTCTGTAAAGTAGTCACTGCTGTAGAGAAATCAGTATCGGCTGTGTGATCCCACTTAGTTCGACCGTTCTTGATCGCTAGAGAAGCGGATTCGAACGTAGATCTTCCACTGTACAGACTAAATAGCTTATGCCCTCAATAAACCACCCATACTGATAAAACTTAATACCCTTACAATTGTGTACGTTTTAAACTAACTAAAGAATCTGTACATACGAAATGGGGACAGAATTGGGTCAGGGCTTTGTTAATCAAAGTATGTGTGTGCTTGACCCAGATCAATGAGTGCTGGGGCGGTTGGGAAAGCTAGTGAATGCAGGTACTGACAGTAAATATTGGTGTCTGTGTGCAGAGTGAGGGGGAGAGGGAGAATGATATATGTGTTAAACCACTTTATCTATCTCCACTGTATATCTGACTTGCCTTCTCTTGCACTAAACAGACAGATAAATATAGGAGACTTATGTCTTTTGGTCTGGAGAGGCAATCTGAGGAATGAAACAGGAGAGCAGGGAGGAGTCAGCAGATGGGGGTTGATGACTGATGCTTGCTCTGTCTTTCCTGTCAAGATGTTACCCTCTTGGTGATGACTAATGTTGAGTTATTTTCTTGACAGAATGTATCTTTTCTGAAGAGCTGGCAGAAGATTAACAGTCCAACCAACATCCACCAACCATCAAACCACCAGAAACAAACTGTTACCCACCAGCTAACACCTGTGAAGGTTCCTGACATCTCCAACATGTGGGAGATGGTACCTCAAACAGCTACCAGTGCTAGAGCTTAGTGTGGCTCAAAGACATTGTGTGTCCTTACTGGTGATAGAGACTTGCTAAATGCCGGTACAGTTGCTGTATCTTCTATGGTGAAGTACTCTTTTACTACCTGATCCAGTTGAGCAGAATTACCAGAGTCAAAGACAGTCGAATCATCAGGAGCTGAGGGAGGCATCATAGACAGAAAGAGGCTAAGTGCAGTTTGATACCTTATGTGCTTTATTCCTCACAGCTCCTAGGTTGTCCAATGATGACAAGATGTCATCTCCAAGACCTTCTGTCTGTGTAGTATCTTTGTGATTTGGACAGGATATCCTGAGATCTAGCCTAGGAGATCTGGCAATTGTCTCACTTTTATATATCTATTTTATATTGATTACATGCATTCATTTTCATGGCTGACTTAGGTGTCTCTATTTCACCTTTTTAAGTGTTTAGCAGTTGTGTATGTATGTATCTTCAGTATATGTGTTAACATGGTTATGATAATGAACTATCATAACCTGGGGGCTTTCTTTAGTAAGTAGTGGGGGTGTCCAGCCAAGTGTGCCTAGAAATATTGTATTTATATACTGATATATTTTTGTAGTGCCAATACTTGAGTTGCCCTACTCCAGAGATAAGTTGAGCGTATATTGGCCACGGGGAATCCCTTAGACCAATACGAGCCAAACGACTCAACATAATTATCTCTGAGTGCTGTTGGTTCTGAAGGAGAAATCCTTACATTAGGCACGCGACAGGAGTGATATGTGACACTCAGTCAGCATCCTTCAGTACCTCAGTCATCATCTGTCGGTACCTCAGTCATCATCTGTCAGTACATCAGTCAGCATCTGTCGGTACCTCAGTCAGCTTCTGTCAGTACCTCAGTCAGCATCTGTCGGTACCTCAGTCAGCATCCTTCAGTACCTCTGTCAGCATCTGTCGGTACCTCAGTCAGCATCCTTCAGTACCTCAGTCAGCATCCTTCAGTACCTCAGTCAGCATTTGTCGGTACCTCAGTCAGCATCCTTCAGTACCTCAGTCAGCATCTGTCGGTACCTCAGTCAGCATATTCAGTACCTCAGTCAGCATCTGTCGATACCTCAGTCAGCATCCTTCAGTACCTCTGTCAGCATCTGTCGGTACCTCAGTCAGCATCCTTCAGTACCCCAGTCAGCATCCTTCAGTACCTCAGTCAGCATCCTTCAGTACCTCAGTCAGCATCCTTCAGTACCTCAGTCAGCATCTGTCAATACCTCTGTCAGTACCTCAGTACAAAAAAAAATTTTTTTTGGTTCAGTTGTTTTCTGAGAATTATTATCTGGCATTTCAGCTTAAAATCCTCCATTTTCTCTTAGCATGAAAGTCGTCCGCATGTGGGATGCAATTTTTATTATTATTTGAAGCCCTATTCTGCTTCTGTAACTGAATATAGCCGGGGAATAGAAATGGTCTAACCATAGATATGGCCTAACGGTTGAAAGGGGTTTCTGGGACCACTCCACGGGTGATCCTCATCCGCATGGTGGCACTTTGTGTCACCGGGTGTTTATCGCTTGTGCTATGTCCTAGTGGGGTACAATTAGCTACCTAACTACCTACCTACCTACTATCTACCTAGATACCAACATACCTACCTACCTATCTACCTACCTACCTACATACATACCTATTTTCCTCCCAAAGAACCACGAGATCATCTACGACTCACATCCGTATGTGTATTTATTTGTAAACTTGAAATGTTGAATACTTACTCCTTCATTAATGTCATTATTTCTCTCTGCTCATTGCTCTTCCTTCTTTTTACCTTAATAAAAATATAAACTGTCTCTAAATGGACACAGTGTCTGTAGTTATTATGTTCGTGTCATCAACAGATTGGCAGCTATTCAAGATGGCAGCCAGCGGCCACGTCCAGACAGGGTACAACGGCCAAGTACTTCGTTCGGGCACGTGACCAAGAAATTTACATGTACTCGGCGGTGACCAACCGTCACCACCCGGTCAACAACGCCATTAACATCATCATCACCACCCTGTCGGCATCCAGGGCGTCCTTGCAGTGTTGTGTTGTGCTCGACGGTAAGACCCTCTATGTCACCCCGGCTGAGACGTTTTTCCGGTACAGTACGTCTGATGTTGCCTTCATTGCCAACATATTGGAGTTTTTCAGCGACTGGCATCTGTACCGCGCTCGGCAGTACTCTTGCTCGCTACCGGACATTGGTCATTCTGCCGAATACGTGACACTAACCTCATCTCTGTGTACTCCAGATATCAGAGACTATCTTAAAATCCTCCACCCCCCACCGGTGCCAGGTGGACTCGCTCTATGCGCAAAAATAGCTTACAATGGAGGGCTTGACCCCGAGAAGTTCATCGAGTGGGTTGAAGTTCAAAGACTGTTAGGGGTGGACAAGATACTTATCTTTGATTTAGGAAACCCGGAAAATCTAACGCGGGTATTTAGATACTACCAAAATCAAGGGATTTTAGATGTCCAGCCTTATGAGCTGCCGGGATATCCGGAAAACAGGACAATTTGGGGAGCTGCCACAGCGACAGACCAGTTCCATCACGACGAGTCCATGGCTGTCTTGGAGTGCAATCAAAGGATGTCCGGTTACACGTTTGTGATGAGTCATGACGTGGATGAGTTCATTATACCAAGACAGGACGTCACTTTGAAACAGTTCTTCCAAGTAAGTAGACACGCTGGCTGTTTTTAAATAAATATGCTCACAATTGTAAATGAATGCCCGGTAAATGATATGCTAATCCCCCCCCCCCCCCAATCTTCACACTGGTAAACAATAGCTCACTTCTGATTGGTCTACCTTCAGTCTACCTCGCTTCTTATTGGTCAGCCTTCACCTGACCTTCACACAAGTTGACAGTGGTGTTTCCAAATGCCGATGATATCGCATGTTCTATATTTCACTATGCCAACATTCCAAAAACATCGACAACTGGGTCTAACACACAACCCCTTTAGAGAGTGACGAAACATATGAAACAGGCAGTTTCTTTCTCGGAATATAAACGTAAATGCACGACAAAAACAGAGCGCCCCACCCATAACCTAGACCACAAATTTATCAATGGAAAGTGACTTACTTTCCGTGGGGAGACTAACGTTTATTTAAATTAAATGCCCTACGGGTCAAAGGGTGCGGTGGATAAGGTACCAACTAAAGGGTGCGGTGGATAAGGTACCAACTGAAGGCTCTAATGGCACCTAAAAAAAGCAGCAGAAAACAAAGACGTTGAACAGGCATCTGAGTTGTACAATCTGGGAACAACATTCATCACGGAGGATGGCAAATTAGGTGAAGAAATTACCATCAGATAAAGTAAAGCAAAACAAGTATTGCGACAGCTAGCCCCCCTCCCCGAAAAAAAAAAAAAGAAGAAGAAGAAGAAGAAGAAGAAGAAGAAGAAGAAGAAGAAGAAGAAGAAGAAGAAGAAGAAGAAGAAGAAGAAGAAGAGGGAAAAGGAGAAGAAGAAGACGCTAATGTGTCAGATGAAGACCTCTCTGAAATAGCAAGTATACTTAGCCCCATGGCAATCTACATTGTCTTTGATTGTAGATATGTGATCATTCCCACTTCCCATTTCAGCTTTGTCTGCATGACTTTGATTGTAGATTAGTGATCATTCCCACTTCAGTTTTATTTGCATAACTGATTGTAGATATGTGATCATTCCCATTTCAGCTTTGTCTGCATGACTTTGATTGTAGATATGTGATCATTCCCACTTCCCACTTCATCTTTGTCTGCATGACTTTGATTGTAGATATGTGATAATTCCCATTTCAGCTTTGTCCGCATGACTTTGATTGTAGATATGTGATAATTCCCATTTCAGCTTTGTCCGCATGACTTTGATTGTAGATATGTGATAATTCCCACTTCAGCTTTGTCCGCATGACTTTGATTGTAGATATGTGATCATTCCCACTTCAGCTTTGTCCGCATGACTTTGATTGTAGATATGTGATAATTCCCACTTCAGCTTTGTCCGCATGACTTTGATTGTAGATATGTGATCATTTTCACTTCAGCTTTGTCCGCATGACTTTGATTGTAGATATGTGATCATTCCCATTTCAGCTTTGTCCGCATGACTTTGATTGTAAAGATGTGATCATTCCCACTTCAGCTTTGTCTGCATGACTCTAGTTATGAATCTAAATTCAATGTTTGTCCTCGCATTTTGACCTTAACTGTTGTATCTAAGCCGCCGTATCTTATTCAGTCACTGCCAGACTCGCCAAGTAGAAAACTTTATGAGAACTTTCTCATCCACAGCATCTGTGACACAGTCTTCCAAAATTATCCGTTCTTGTTTACCCAAATGGTTTGTAAATTGTCCGTGTCCCTCTTGGAATGCACTCAGATGTGGTCAGCATTATTACAATATTTGGGGAAAACAAGAATAGACCCACTGCCTCCCCAAAAGCATGTCGTAAGAGTCGGCTAATTGGGGAGCTTCCTTTGAAGTCGGAGTGCATCTGCTGGAGAGGCGAGGAACCAACAGTCTGTATTCAAGAGAGTGGGATCTGTAAAACTGATACACACGCAACACTCAGGTTCTGGAGCAGGACTGCAGTTCAGTAGTGGACGAGCAGCCAGAACTTTCCACCAGAGTGTACAGCTGGTGAACGAGAAGAAGAAGAAGAAGAAGAAGAAGAAGAAGAAGAAGAAGGAGAGTCGGCACAGAACCAATACTGAACTTTAAAGGTGGACAATAAATCAAATGGTTTGGCCATGTAACAAGATTGGCATCAGATAGGGCACCACAGAGAGCGTTGTTATACAGATACATCGGCAACATAACCAGAGGTAGATCACGCAGAATTTGGACCGCAGAAATATCAGATAAACTGAAGAGTAGGGCGGTACCGAATAGTGATTTTCACTATTCGGCCGAACACAAATAGCGGGACCAATTATTCGGCCGAATACGAATAGTGTATCATCATCGTCAGGTGCCTCGCCGACTGGCATAGGCGATTATGCCTCGCCACAATCTGCGATCCCCTGCAGCATTCATTAGTTCGTATGCTGACACACCTCCATGCCATGCAATAAGACTGTCAAGAATCTTCTCTCGTTGTCTTCCTCTATCCCTCCTTCCACAGATCTTTCCAGTGGTCACCCCATGTTCCATTTTCCCTTTTCTCATATATATATATATATATATATATATATATATATATATATATATATATATATATATATATATATATATATATATATATATATATATATATATATATATATATATATGTGTGTGTGTGTGTGTGTGTGCTTTATTGATAAAATGCAATTGCGGTCAGATTGACGAGAGTTAAGGAGGGTCGAATGTAAGATGTGCCCTGTTTATGACCCTTTGAAAAAAAAAGTTTATTTGCTAGTTTAATCGACATCCGCTGAGAAAAGCCTGGCTTATGTGGCTAAGTCACGAGTTCTGTGAGGGTCACAGTAGTAATTTGATCAACGAATCAAACAAGAAGACCGATAGAAAGCAGGGCGCAGGTATGAAAGGACTGATGGTGGAGGGATGTATAGATGGACGGACGGGTGGATAGGTTTAATGGATGAGAGGACTATGGCTGCCAGAACGGATGGATGAGGGGATCATATATATATATATTGCCGAACACCCCCGTAATCGTGTGCGAAGGACACGGGGCTCAGGGACTACCAATTAGAAGTAAGCTAGTTTATATATGGGCGGGGTCTGGGGAGTCTAACGTCGAACTTATATATATATATATAAACACAACGTTGTTTAAAAAATACAAAGGCAAGGATAATAAATGCGAGCGAGCACACAGACACGTTATACCCACTATCAGAATATAGATCTGCTGGCTGTCCAGCAGCGAATGCATTCCGTGTGCACAGTTGTTACCAAAAAAAAAAACCTGTAATAAATGGCTCAGGTATGGTTGATCTGTCAAGTTCGTATTAGATTTAGATTGCTACCTATATCCTTTCCCATTTATTTTCTGAAATATGATAGATAGAGTTAAAGTATAGTAGAGTCAAACTGTTAACGATTTACGATAGA